CACTGCTGTGAGTCTCAGCTAAGGTTACCCCCATTTGATTGCTGGGAACCTCCATGATCCCCCCCCCTACACATATACACACCATGCTGCAGATTTCCATTCATTCTCTTGGCCCTCTGGCCTTCTCTCCTGTCTCTCCCCACACCTGATCCTGAACACTGGCCCCCTCCATTCTCCCTCTCCCACCCAGTTCCCTCCCTCCATCTGCCTCCTATGATTATTTTATTCCCCCTTCTAAGTGAGATTCAAGCATCCTTCTTGTTTAGCTTCTTTGGGTATGTAGAGTGGAGTGTGGGTATCCTGTACCTTATGGCTAATGTCCACTTATAAGTGAGTACATAACGTTCATGTTATCTTTGGAAAAAGTAGTGCCAGCTAGAAGTTTCACCCCCACTGGCTAGCACTCATGGTTCTGGAAGGTACTCTGAATGCTACAGAGAAAGGTAATCACCAGGATCACCCAGCTACAGTACCAACCTACCCATTATACATACTGGTGCAATAATGGCACAAGAACTACAGGGAAGAAACACATTTTTATTGGACGTAAGACTCACTCTATAAGATGGAACCCATTCTTGACACTACTGAGGTTTCCAAGAACCTGAGAACATGTAGGTCGCAGGGCTAGAGGAAATCCTGCTATTCTTCTAAAGGACATACCAATAAAATGACTCCTAATGACATACAGCTATACCCATTGATCAGGGACTCATTCAACCCACTTCAGAGAATCTTCTCCTTATAGTATATGAGAAGTAACACAGAAATCTGCAACTGGGCAATTAGAAGAGAGTAAGAGACTTTGGAAAACTAAGTTCTAAATTTCTTTTTAAATCAAATCCTTCTCCTCATGGCTCACAAAGTTATGTGGAAGAAGTGATAGATGACTCCAAGGAAACTCTGTCCTCTAGATACAACAGGATTCATCACAAAGATTTACAGCATAAACAAGCACTGTACAGATTCAAGCTAGACACAGTTCTAGCACTGAGAGGGGGAATTGTACACCCCTAACTGAGAGGGTAGCTGTAATTGGTACCTGTTGGCAAAGGGAAAATCGGTATGATGGCTATTTCTGGTTGTCAACTTGACTACACCTGGAATGAACTACAATCCAGAAATGGATCTTGAAACTGGAGGACACAGGCTTCTGACCTGGATACTGACATGGAGATCTTGAAGAATAGTGGCCATAAAAAGCTTAGACTCAGGCAAGGTAGTAGATGACTTTGATCCCAGGAGACTGACCTCTGAGTTCAAGGCCAGCCTAGGACAGAGCAAGCTCCAGATCCACTCGTGGCAGTACATACCTTTAATCTGGGCCACACCTTCTGCTGGAGGCCAACACAAGGACAACAGAAGAAAGAAGACTCATTCTTCTTTGCCTGCTTGCACTTACTTACAGCACATGTGTTAGAACCTACTTCTTCAGGATTCTGGCTTATACAGAGGACAGCTGAAACAACTAGCCTCATGTGACTGAGCAACTAAGAGATTTTGGACTTTCCATTCACAGCTGCCCAGTGTTGGGTTAGTTGAACTACACACTGTAAATCATTACAATAAATTCCCTTAATATAGAGAGACATTCCTTAAGTTCTGTGACTCCAGAGAACCCCGACTAACACAATCACTTTTCACTGAATGTATCAACCATTCTAAAGGCTAGGCATCATATCTAGGATGAGTTGGCCAACACAAAACAAACTCAATGGTAATTTTGAGGGCTTCTGTTTCATTTTGCTTTGTTTTGGCATTTTTTTTTGTCTTATTGGTTGTGATGGTTTGAATAAGAATGGCTCCTATCATTGCTCATATGTTTGAATGCTGGATGCCTGGTTAGTGGAATTGTTTGGGAGGGATTAGAAGGTGTGGCTTTGTAAGGAGGTATATCATAGAGTGGACTGTGAGGGTTCAAAAGTCCATGTCATACACGGCCCCTTCACCCTCTCTCTTTCTCCTGCCTGTAAATCAAAGTGTAAAGCTCTTAGCTATGGCTCCAGTGCCATGCCAGTCTGATTCCTGATGTGGTGATCCTTTTATAAGAGTTACCTTGATAATGGTGTATCTTTATCGTAATAGAACTGTAACTAAGACAGAAGTTGGTACTAGGGACTTGGGTATTTATTACTGTGACAGGTCTGAAGAAGACTGTAGTATGGAAGACTATTGGAACACTTTGGGACTTTGAACTATAAAAACAATTTAAAACTTCAAGCAGGACAATTCTAATAGGAACTTGGAAGATATTAATCCTAAGGGTGTTTTGGAATATGTAGGCCCTGCTCTCAAGATGTTTCATAAGGAAAAATATTATCAACTAGCCTATAGACCATTCTTGTGATATTTTGGCAAAGAATGTGTCTGCATTTTACCCTTGAGCGAAAAATATGTCTGAAACTAAACTGAAGAGTTTTGAATTAATGTTATTGCCAGAGGACATCTTAAGACAGCTTAGTGTTAACTGTCACATGGTTATTAGTGTTCATTAGTTTTTTTAACTTTTTTTTTTATTCTTTGTGAAATTCACATCATACACCCCAATCCCCCTCATCTCCTGGCCCCTTCATATCCACCCTGGCAACCTCCTCCACAAAGGACAACAAAAATAAGAATAAAAAAATAAATAAAACAAACAAAAAATATCTTGCCCTGGAAACGGTGGCATGTCATGGTGTGTCACATAGTATAGCCTTTTGCCCAAACAGCTTTACTTGCAAATGTTCATGGCAATGAGTCACTGGTCTGGTTTGAGGCCTCTGGTTTCTACTACACTGTCTACACTGGATCCTCACCTGGTCTCTGCTCTCAGATATCCTGTTGTTGCCCTCTGTCCTGGTGATCCTGCAGCTTTGGATATGTACGTCAGTTGCTCTAGCAGTTCATAGATGGGGGAGATCTTGGAATAAGCCAACTCAAAGCCCTGAATCTGGGCCAAGGTAGAGCTGTGTTGGTCAGCCATTCATCCATACTGTGACTGCATCACCAGGGCCAGCTCTCCCTTTTTGCCTAGGAGAGGGATGAGGCCAAGTCTCCCTCTCTCATTCCCTGAGGATCATCTCTCACAGATCAATAATGAAAAAGAGCAAGGAGGGCAAAGAGAAACACAAACTGTACAGTTTGAAGAGAAAGAGAACACCAGAAAATGTAGTCAAGTCTTGTGCGCAAGAAGGTGAGGCATTTAATGAAAAGCCTGATGCTAAATGGAAGAATAGGAATGATACCCTCCTGGCAACACCCCAGGAACTAATCCTTTAACCTGTGAAGGGAAAGCACTGAGGTATTTCCTCGGTCCAAACAACAACAGAAAGTTTATGGAAATGTAGTTCTAGGCGACAGCAAGGTTCCAGCCCCAACAAAAAGCAGAACTTGTCAGCTCTGGTCACGTGGTTCTGGATTTAGAGGACACAAGAAAGGGGTTTTGGAATCTTCCTCTATGGTTATGGAAAGCTGCTGAGGCCAACCACAAGGCAGGGGTGTCCCAGAATGAAGTTGTAAAGATAAAGTCCAGATTATGTTGAAGACTCCAAGATATTGGAGATACCAGGCCTTTAGGATTGCCACTGGGATCCAGGCCCTGACTGCTAAGGAGTGCTTCAGACAGGGTGTGGACCAGCCCAAAAGAGGGAAAACTGTTGCAGTCAACAAAGCTGGAAGGAATTGGATATCTGAAGACAGATGTATCCTTGGGCATAGAGATACAGAACTCTGAAGTTAACCCTTCTAGGTTTTGTTGTTGTTTTGGACTGGTGTTTCCGAACTGTGCTCTCTTCCCACCCTTTTGGAGTGGTGATGTATATTCTGTTCCATTGTTTGTTGGAAATTATGTGCTTTTTTGATTTTATAGAAATTATAGTTAAGAGAGGGCTATGGGTCTCAGAACAGACTTTGGGCTTTTAAACCATAGTGAGACTGAAAGATTATAGGAAATATTTTGATATTGGACTGAATGCATTTGCATTATGGTATGGGTTTGTATGAGAATGGCCCCCATATATGAATGCTCAGTTCCCAGTTAGTGTAACTGCTAGGAAGGATTTGGAAGTGTGACCTCATTGAACGAGGTGTGGCCTTGTTGAAAGAGGTGTGTCACTGGCAGTAGGCTTTTAAGTTTTCAAGCCCATTCCAGGCCCACTGTCTGTGTCTGTATCTGTATCTGTGTCTCTCAATCTGTCTGTCTGTCTGTCTGTCTGTTTTTGTCTCTCACTCTTTCCATCTGTCTCTGTGTTTCTGTATCTCTCTCTCCCTCCCCCTCCACTCCCCCCTCCCTTCCCTGCTTGTTGTGTAAGGATCAGGATGTAAAGCTCTCGGCTACTTCTCCAGAGTCATTCCTGTCTGGTTTCAATCATGATGATAACGGACTAACCGTGTAAAACTGTAATGAAGCCCCAAATTCTATGCATTCTTTTTATAAGAGTTGCTTTGGCCATGGTGTCTCTTCGCAGCAACAGAACAACAATGAAGACATTAGTCTTTCGCTTTTTTATTTTGATCTTCATTTTTCGTATTTTATGGGGCTTTCTTGCATTGTTTTTGTTTCTTCTTATTTAAAAAAAATCATATACTATATTCTGATCATGGTTTTCCCTTCCTCAACTCCTCTTGGATCATAACTACATAGACTACAACCTTTCCACCTCAGTGTACTGACCCAGGAAACCCTGGAGGGTTGCTCTGTCTCATGTCGCTTCAAGTTAGAGATCAGGTCTCATTTGTGGCAGCTAAGTACTAAACAGTGCGTGGCTCGTCCACTCTGGAATTGTATAAAACTCTAATTATGTGGATTTACATGTATACTCGACGTTTCATTCTCAATTTAATATGATTGTTTGCCTATGTATGTTCAGGACACAGGATTTTAATTTTCTAAGAAAAATATGTATCTTGAGTTTTTTTTTTTTTTTAGGACGTTGAAGAATTTCCAAATACATCACAACATAATCAAATTAATTTCCACAGCTACATCCTAAAACACTGACCTAAGACATGTTTTTCAGGTGTGAAAATGAAACCAAGTTCAAAGCAGAAGATGTTCACTGGGCTTACAGTTTCTGCCCTACCCCGTATTCCTGGACAGCACTTGTGGGCCTGGTGTTATATCTTGTTTTCTTTGCACCTGGTAAGCAGGGCTTTGTTCACCTTTGCATTGTGTTTTCCCCCCCTTAGAAGAGTCAGCCTACTGTGTGTCACGCCATAGGTGATTTTTACTGTAGCTTTCATTATTTACTTCTCAGGAATGGGACCAATGCCCTGGACCGTGAACTCTGAAATCTATCCTCTCTGGGCAAGAAGTACAGGAAATGCGTGCTCAGCTGGAATAAACTGGATTTTCAACGTGCTGGTTTCCTTGACCTTTTTACACACAGCTGAATATCTTACATATTATGGTGAGAGTATGGTTTTCAATGTCCTTCCATTGTTATTTCTGATATTCTATCCTTAGATACCCTGGATTTCTGAGAGAGAGGCTATGTCCTCATGCTTTGGCTCCTCATGAGTACAGGTTTCACCACTCCAGGGATTCTGGGAGAGTTCTCTTTTCCTAAGCTTCCTGTCTCCAAGTGTATATGAATATCCCCCACCATTCTTCTAACCTCGAGCATCCCCAGGCCTGCCAGGATGGAAATCCTTACAGCACAGCTTTCGGTTTAACAAGGAAGCAAACAGAAAATGATAAGGTACCAGAGACAGGGCTGATGCGATGTCCCATGGGAAGGATGGAGTCCCACACCTAAACAGAGTTGATGTAAGCCTGAGAGTAGCTCACCCATTTGGGACACCGAGCCAGCCACCTGTCCAACCAGTACATGCATTCTGGCACCATGGATCCCAGCACTTACCACTTCCAGACCCAGGGACAAAAGCCTTCAAATGAAAATGTGTAGAGTCTGCAGCTTTAGGGAAACACTGGTGGGTAACGGCACATTACACAAGTTCTTTGCAGAATGATGTCAAACCTCTGTTTACTAAAGTCAAAAGATCTTGTTCTGTCCCCTCCCAAACCTCCATCCGCCACACCCATAGTTGCCTTGTCTACATGATTTTATAAGTTGTGATGATATTAAGTTGGGATAATTTTTAAAAGACGGAATGTAAAGCCACTGAATTCATATCTCCATAAGCCCATGTGATGTATGTGACATTTATTCTATGTTTGGTCCCCTCTGATGCCTCCCCAGCAGACTTTATCCTATCACATGCTCTGGTCATGCCCCTACCTTTGCTGTATACCAGGAGGCCCACAAAGCCAGGCTTGTGGTTCATCCAACACTGTGCTCCTGGCTCTTGTCAGGGGACTAGGAGGGCAAGCATCATGTTCACCAGTGTAAGAATGACAACTGTGAGGGAGTGTACAAATCTGCTTCCTCTGTCTTCGGGATCGTTTGCTACGGTATTGCTGTAGTTTGTACTATGAACCTGATGGTTTAGTATCTTCTCTCTCATTAACCACTTGGAACATCTAGAACAGCAATTCTCAACCTGTGGGTAATGACCATCAGAAAACATATTCTCGGTGGTTTTAAGGAACCCCTAACCATAAATTTACTTTTGTTGCTACTTCATAACTGTGATTTCATTACAGTTTTGTCTCAGTTACTAAGACCGTCATAAATATGTGTTTTCCAATAGTCTTAACACACAGGTTGAAAAACACTGATCTAGAAACATTTGTTTTTTTGAGAAGGAAATGATAAGCTGGTGGTATGTTTAGAATATTCAGTTTTATGCCTCTTAACAGCTAAGAATGTTTCTATAAGCTCACAGACTTGTTTCCAAGACATGATGACAGGTACCCCTTGTCATTGATGAGTCTTGAGAATACTAACTATATGAAGCATTCTGTATAGACTAACAGCCCAAGAAGCGTTTTTTGTATGTAGACTGGCATAATAAAAATTCACTCAGTAAACTTTTGCTAGCAAAGTGCTTTCTGGGGTGAAGTAGGAGGCATCAGAGGGGATCAGACTGCTCTTCTCAGTGGTTTTGCATGGCATGCATTTATGTGTGCCATGTGAGCTTATAGCAGTGTGAGAGCAAATCTGTCCTGTTAGAAAATGCTTGGGCAGCTGACTGTGTGGCTTAGATATGGCCTGAGTTGGCTTTTGTCAGGAGTGTATACGTAGGGAGAAGCCATCCTGCCCTCCTATCAATACCCTGGCCCCTTAGTTCTACTAACAGAGCAGGTGTGTGGCCAGTCTCGTTAGACTTTTGGGCTCATGTTTTAATCTGTAGGTTAATCATTTATGAACGTGTGTTTCTATATTCCTGATTAATAAGTATGCATCCTAATGGTATATTTCCATGGAAATATCCATAACCTCTTTCCTCTATTTTTTTCAATATTTTTAAATAAGATATAAAGTTTCAATTCCTTCCTAAGCATCAGTACTTAGACTTTCATTGCAAGGTTGTTCAATGATATTCATTGCTAAGAGTAACCAGGGTAAGACAAGCACAAGACCTGTCCATATCAGGTATAGTTAAATAAATCCCATAGAGAGCAGTATATTAAAGTTATCCATTACGGGAATATTGAAACTGAAATGTGCTCATTGACTGTTCTAGTATATTTCCCAAATATTAGTTTTAATCTTGAATTTAAGAGAGGATTCTCATAAGATTTCTCTCAGAAAAATACTGAGGAATTATATTTTCCATTATCATCCTTGTCTGACTAGAATGTGCAGTAGCCTGCCTACCCTGCCCTGCGCTACAGCTTAACGACAGGGCTCACCTGGAACCCCTGCAGTCAACAGCCAACCTGCCTGCTCTGGAATCCTCTAGTTCAGTTAGGGTTTTCTGTTCAGTGGAATTACCTGGATGCAGTTTGCCATTAGGAATCTGCATTTCAAGGAGGAATCTGGTTTAGGTGGGGTTTGTTTCTTGATGGGTTTAATTTTTTAGAGGTATGGTCTCACGTATCCCAGGCTGAGAAAGGAATTTAGAAGAAAGGCACGGGATGACCTCCACATGTGAGCATAAGAAACAGGGAGAAGGGAGTTGCCATGAGCTCCATGGAGCCATTAACTCAGCAGACCATCACTGTACCAGGTCCCAGAAATCTAGATTTCTCCTGAACTTCCATGCTTTTGAGGAGATGAGACAGACACGTGTGTACATCTGGTTAACAGGGCTCTTTGGTTCTTATAATACTAATGACCGTATTGAGGAAACGGGGGAGAGCAATTCTTCACAGCTTGGGATCTGCAGGCAACTTCTGAGAGTTTCAGAGAAACTTATCTCTGAGGCTGCTCTGTTACTTTTCTTCCATTTGCTATGGCATGGTTTGAAGTTTTTTTTTATAGTCACAGGACTGAAACAACTAGGTAAGGCAGTTTAGCGGGCATCATTTGGTTGCATTTCAAACTATAGCTATGTTCGAGTCAAAACCTACCCAGGGCCATTCATCATGTTCTTTTCCCACCACAGGAGCATTCTTCCTCTACGCTGGATTTGCGGCTGTGGGACTGCTTTTTGTCTATGGCTGTCTTCCTGAAACCAAAGGGAAAAAATTAGAGGAAATCGAATCGCTCTTCGACCACCGGCTATGTACATGTGGCACTGCTGACTCGGATGAAGGGAGATACATTGAGTACATCCGTGTGAAGGGAAGCAACTATCATCTCTCCGACAACGACGCTTCTGATGTGGAGTAACTTTCACCTGATGACTTTCTAGTTACTGAAGTGAATGTGGCGGGAAGGCCAGCGGTTGGTCACTGCCCTGCTCGCAAGCTGTGTCTCCCCACACTCCTTGCAAACGACTCCATATTCCAGAAGACTTGATGAGCAGAAAAATACAACCGTGGTGATATTTATTTTCATACACAGAAATGCTATAAAAAGAACACAGATTTTTCTTAAGCAAATGTGTATAAGCCCTTCCTGAGACAGTCTAAACATTGCTGTTGTACCCAGTGACTTCGATTGGGATCCCTTTCTCCTTAAACCACATATAATTACTAGTGGTAACACAGTCAGTGTTAATCTAGGCAGATTATATATGTATATTTATAAAGGATTATTTAAAGTGACCTAAAGATATTTAATGTCAAAACATGGCCTATTAACCTTAAATTTTCACATCCAGTAGTGGCTTTTCTCTGATCAGCACAAAGTAAATTCCATCTAAACTTCCACCCACAAATTCAGAAGTCCTATGAGGACACAGCTGTCCCTCTCGCCTTTGGCTTCCAGATGTTGGCTTCTCCAACACAGATATGGAAATTCCCTCAGAGGCTGAGTACACGGGATCTTTTGAACATTATCCAAAGCGGGCCTTTTAAGGGTTATTTTCGTACTTTTTTTCCATCAGTGATGAGTATATTTGCAGAGACAAACTAGCATGTTTTGATAAGTATATTTTATTGTCCAAGTAAGAAAGAACAGATTTTTATACATTCTGATTCGTTAGTCACTTTGGAATGCAATTGTAAATGTGAAGCAGGACCAGGTGGTCAACTGTATTCCAGGGTCACTTCCACACCAGACTCTACGTTGTCACACCCTGGCTCCTGCTGTTCTGTGCCTTCCTTGGTGTTAAATGACAGCTGCTGGCAGACTGGTTCTCTCTTTCTGTTACACAAGAGGAAAGAAGTCAGTGGCGGAGATGTTATTGACATTTAATTTAAATCCTAGAAAATCTTCCTCCAGATGTTTTACTGGCGTGTACTAAGGACAGGAGCACACCTCACTTCTAATTACTGATTTCCCCCTGAGGAAGTGAGCTACTTTTAATCCCTTGTTCTTTCCTCATTCTTAGTAATTTGCTACACAAGTGAAATTCGAAGCTGTGTCTGCTTCTTTATTTCAGACTTGGTTTGGTTTTCTGTCTGGAGAAAAACGCAATTTCTCCGTTGGAAAAAGGCATAAGTAGGTTCTAATGCCACAGTCGGTAAAACATGTTGACCTTCTACTGTATCTCTCTAAGTATTTGATGGTGTCTCTGTTCATTCAACCCTGACTTCCTAATTCTTACCACCCTGCTAAGAGCTATGTGATACAAACAAAATTACTTGCTCACAAAAGTCATTTATTTGTGTGTTCTTCTAAAGCTGTGGGTGAATCTGATGGCCTCTTTGGAACACATGAGTTTGATTCTGCACACTATGATTTAAACATCTAGTTAAGGTACATACCCAGGTGAGTGATGGCTAGTGACAGAAGAAAGCATCTCTGCCAATCTCCAAAATGTTTATTCTTGCTGCTTCTTACCGTAATTACCAAGCAGAGACTGTAGCGAAGGAAGTTATCCTCTGGTCACCAGAGATTACACAGTCAATTTCCCGCCCTACAAATAAATCCTTCAACCAAAAGAGGACATCCTCTCTTTGGTTATTTAACATTATTTTTTTTAAAAAACCAACTAACAAACTATTTTGGAAAAGGTTCCTCAAATTAGGTGCTTTGAAATTTATTTATAGAGAATATTGGTACTGATTTTTCTCGAGAGCAGAAGTTATTATTTAATAGGATATTATTTGATATTTCTGATCTCTTAAGATATTTCTTAACTCGGTAGCATTTTACAAGATCAAATGCAGTATTGTTAGCATATTATGGGAAGAAAAAAATGAGAAAAGTGCTCCTTTTAAAATACGGTTTTCTCACTTGTCCTACCCTTACCTCAGTTCTTCCCTTTGAGGTCCATGGAGCCTTAAGCACACATCAGAGCTGGCACAGGGTATCTTTTTTAAAGGGACAGCTAGAATCCATAGTCCTCAAAGCTCGGTGTGACCTGTTCTTGCTGACATAAAAACATGTATGTTCTCAGCTTTATGTCCCTAAATTAACATAATATTGGGAAATCATCCACCTTCTTCCTGCCCTGTTCCCTTCATCATTTCTAAAAAGTATTTGTTATCTACATAGTAACAGTAGTTCATACCTTTAACATACAAGACAGAGAGGCACAAATAAGATTTACTTATAACTTGTAAAAAAGCAACTCAATACTTGAAAAGGAACCTTCTATAATCCAGATATGATTTTTAGATTTGCTGAACATTTATAATACATTAAATTTTCAGCTTTTTATTCTATTGAGCACCTATTCTATTAAACCATCAAGCGTATATTTTGTAGGACAATTTCTATATGATATGATTTGACCTGATACATTAAAATAGAAATATTAAGCAGTGTACTTACTACTGCAGTGATAGCTTTCTTTCCAGACACTTTCCGAATCCAATACAGGTGTACTTCATTTGGGAACATTGGGTGAAGAAGGTCATGACCTTGCCTGCAATCTGGCTGGGTGGCTAATGTGCAGGAGAATTAAGAATGCATCATTTTGTATAAATATAAGCACATACTGTTGAAAATGATGTCAAAAAAGACTTGATGTTGTGGTCTGTGGATACAGTTCAGTGGTAGAGCACTGGTCTGAAAAGATCGGGTCTTAATATTTTTCTTCCGTGTAAACATCTGTAATAATTTTGATTGTTACACCTACATCTGTCATCATCTAAAACATGGCTTTGAGTATACATGTAGATCTACATAAAAGGTATTTCCAGGAGAAAAACCACCAGAATCTTTCCAACAGTTTATCAGTGAAGCACACTTTAGGATCCAGTCTTAACAATTGTTAACACTCTAACGTGGGAAACCGGTGAAAGCAGAGTTTATAGATCTTTGTTGTAACTTCAGTGTCCATTCAACAGAGAGAAAGACTGGGAAAAATTGACACCTGACCCATTTAGTTTTTAAGAGCGAAGTAAAATTGCAATTTATCGTTAATAATCATACCTCTCGGGGCAGGAGTGCAGTGGTGTTTTAGACAGTGCTACTCATGTCTTCTATGATAACCAAGCATGATAAAGTTTCAGTTACCATTTTCCTAACTAGGAACAAAAGGATTAGATTGTACAGCCAGGCCAAGAGTAGAGGATTCCTGGTAGATGCTCTCTAGAAAATTATTCTACATTCTACCTTAAACTGCAAAGTTGGAGATGAAGTTCACAGTTCAAAAGTAGCTACTGCCTATAAAAAGACTCAGAATTATTCTCTGGGTTAATTTTTAACGTCCTTCACCCTATCAATTTCTACCAATCCTGGCCTCGTGCACAGTAAGGTTCTTTCAGTTCTCCAGGGTGATCAGTAGCGCTGCCTCCATGGGAAACAGCAATCAGTTGCAAATGCCAAACAGCTAACTAACTGCTCAGCTCTTCCTTGTATGCTGTTTAGGGAAGACAATACATGTGTGCCAATAATCTTCAGAGAATTGTTTTATGAATATTCATGTTCAGAAGTACCAGGAAGTATTTTATCGTTATCATAATATGCTTGTGAGTTCAGAACAGTATACATCTCTAAATCTTCCTATGTGTACAGTGCAGTCTATAACACTTTAGTAATCTGGTCAACAGGACTTCATTGACTTTGTTTACAACTAATATTCACATTTTAGACAATTAGACTCATAGGATTGGTTTCTTTTGTCATGTCCATATAAATAAGAAGTGGACTGTGCAGATAATCAGTACTCAAACTTACGAATCAATACTTTATGAAGTTTTAAGATTTTGCTAAATTCAACATCCCATTTCACTTAAAGTTTAGACACTATAATATTAACTCTAGCCAAAGTAGAAATTTATGACCCATATCCATGTCCAGATCCTCTGGCGGCTCCTGTACTACGTCTCACTTGATGTTACAATACTGTCTGTGAGAAATGTTCTCATTTCTATTTAGGAGATCTAAGTAGGCATCTCTATTCCATCAGGAGTTTCTTGCTGTTAGAGGTATATGTATTTTGAACTGTATTTCCTTTTCTAGCGCATGTTATCTACTGTTTAATATTTGACAAATCTTGGCAAGTTTAGTCTTTTCATTCCTACCTGTGACATACAGAATATCTCTTGAGAACTGCCACTGTCCCATTTACCAAATCATGCTAGCCTATGCTGTATCAAAAGTATGGTCTATTTTATGGAGATTTAGTGATATACACGTAAATGTTTTTTAAGTTATTTTACTGAACTTCAATATTTACATGAAGTTACAATCTTTTTTTAAAGAAAGTGTCAGTGCCAGAACTGTATAAGAAAACAATCAAATAAAAGTAAAGATAATTCACTGTCTTGTTCTCTTTACTTCGGATCTCATCTTGGATTTTAGCATCTAAGTTACACAGTGAGCATACTGTGGTAACCATGAACAGAACATATTGTTGTTTTCTTATTAATTTTAATTTTATGTGCATATTTAATTTTATGGGCACTTTGCTTGCATGTAGGTATGTCCACCATGTGCATGCCTGGTGCCTGTCGAGGCCAGAAGAGGGAATCAGATCCCCTGGAACTGAAGTGACAGATGGTGTGAGCCACTACGTAGGTGCTGGAATTGCTCTGAAGAACAGTCATTGGTCCCAACCACTGAGCCATCTCTTCAGCCCCTCTACCGTCTTTTCTAGCAAATGTTACAGTCAATATAATTTGTTTCTCAAAGAACACCAAACCTTTATAATAAGCCTTAGGGCATTAGAGCTGGGCAGATCAACACTCTATGCTATTTTTTCTACTGCCCTGGTCAATAACCCAGAGATATCTCTTATGTGTTCCACTTGGGCTGAAATGATATCTGTGACATGTTTACACCAAGGGCTATGTGGATATCTAGGATCTGTGCCAAAGCCTGTGGCCATGGTAAGGCCCATGGCCTGAGCTGCCACCTGAGGCCATGTTGATGTCCCTGGTCCAGGCAGCCACCAAGCACATGTACACAACAGACTTTTATTCAACCACAGAGAAGGATAACTAACTCCCCCTTGGAGAAGTGTCAACTGGTGTAACACTATGGAAATCAATATTGAGACCTCTCCAAATGCTAGAAACAGAACTACCATATGGCCCTGTTACATTACTCTTGGGAATAAACCTAAAACCTAAATCCTACCACAGAAACTCTCGTACATTAGTGCTTATTGCTGCTTATTCATAACAGTAAGGGCATGAAATCACCTAGATGACTACAAACAGGTAAATGAACCACGAAAGAATGGCATATAACATGATTGACTTTTCATTCAACCATGAAGAAGAATGAAGTTACGAAACTTGAAAGAAAATGAATAGAGCTGAAAAAAAATATTGTATGAAGTCAAGAAAACCAGACCCAGAAAGACAAATATCACATGTTCTCTCTCCTACGTGGATTTTAACTTTTATTGTTAGCTATGTACAGTCACATGGGAGTCCATGAAGCTAAATGTCAAGAAAATTATAAGGACCCCATGACCTAGGGAAAAGAGGCTTTAAGAGAATGGATTGGAAAAGAAACAGAATACATGTGATAGGAGAGTTTATTATTATTATTGGATGTGAATTTATTTATTTTATTGAATGTAAATTAGTGTTTTTCTTGGATGTATGCATGGTGTCTACAGAGGCCAGGGGGTGTGCAGGGATTTCCTAGATGGTATTGAGCTGTTTTCTGGGTGCTGATAATCAATCCTGGCTCCTCTGCAAGAAGAACCAGTGTTATTAACCAATGAGCCATCTCTCCAGCTCAGGATTCATTATTTTAAATAAATTCATTTGTGAGACAAGTCTAGAAAAGCAAAAATGAAAAAAAGAATGTATATCTTTACCCCACTTACTCCATACATGGCTTGAACTTTATTCTGTAGTTCTAAGTTTCTATCCACATAATTTTCCTGTTATGTAAGACTTTCTGCTAACAGTGTTGGGGTGGCTGGAAGACCGGCAATAGAGTCCCTGATGTTTCTTTTTGTCTGAGAAAATATTTTTCCTCCAGTTTCGAAGGGAAACATGTCAACGATATGTAATTAAATGCTGGTATTTTTTCTAGCCAACTGAAATTCTACTCCATCCTTTTAGGTCCTTATGGATTTTGAGAAGTCTTTGTTCCGATATGATCAGATAACTTTTCCTTTGGCTCCTTCTGTGATTTTGCCAGTTAGAATGTGATCTGCCTGGAATGTGAGGAGGGTTTTTTTTTTTGTTTGTTTGGTTTGGTTTGTGCTTATCCTGCTGGATGTTTTCTATGTTTTGCGGACTGATGGCTTGCTTTGTATGACATTAGGACATTCCGAGTCATTATTCCTTCAAATATTTCTTCTGTTCCTACTTGCTCCTTCTTATAGGCTTCCTGTTATTGATGCATTAAACCCCTCATCCTTGTCCCACGACTCCAAGATATTTTTGTCCTATTTTCCTCAGTCTTTTTCCATTCCCTGTTTTCTTTGGAAGTTCCAAGCGCACAGGTTCTTATATGATCAGTGCCCATCTGCTAGTGTGTCCACCAAAGACATTCTTCATTTCCGTGATGGTGGTTTTAAATGCCATCATTGAAGACATTCTCAGAATTTCCCATCTCTTTGCTTATGCCCTGACCACTATCAAAGTTTGTCTAGTCTTTATGTCATTATCTCTCTGCATATTAGTAATAAGTATTTTAAATTCTAAATTTTGTCATTCTAACACGTCTGCCTCATTGGAGTCTAGTTCTGATACATATTCTGACTCTGATTTTAAACTATTTTATTGTTTGTGCTTTCCTTTTAGCGCATCATATATAATTTATTTATTTATTTTTGCTTTTCAAGACAGGGTTTCTCTGTGTAGCCCTGGCTGTCCTGGAACTCACTCTGTAGATCAGGCTGGCCTCGAACTCAGAAATCCGCCTGCCTCTGCCTCCCAAGTGCTGGGATTAAAGGTGTGCGCCACCACTGCCCCGCTAGGTCCAGCTTTTAGGATGCTTCTGATGATGTGCATACTCAACACATTTCGCTAACAGGAAACCATGTAATCAAACTAGAGAGCCCTTGAGGGGCATTCTCAATTCAGACCACCACAACCCTGACCAACAACTTGAAGTGTTTCATGCTAGGTAATGGGTTTTTGTCAGATAGTCGGTGGCTTCTGTGGGGAATAGTGGCTCTAATCTTTCAGATTGCTTGCCCATGCTTATGTATGTCAGCTGGAGTAGAATTCAAAGGAGAAGAAAAGATGCCTGTAAGTGGTCTAGAATCCTACACTCAGGCTGTCCCAGTGCCACATTCGCATTTCTGACCCCAAAATCAGAAAACAGTGTCACCCAAATCCTACTGGAAGAGAAATATCCTATCTCTTTGCAGAAGGAAATACACCATGATATTGTTCTATAGTGCACACAGAGAAAACTCAGAAAGCATAATCACTCCTGCAATCCACAAGACTAGACCTGCTTTCTGCTCCTCAAAGAGAATCCTATTAAAAATGATGCCGTGGGCATTTTTCTCACATAGCGACATGATATTTTGAAGTGCAACTTCAAAACGGCTTTCTCTGAGTACAATAAAGTTTCCTTATTTAATGTGAGAAAATGAGATTGACGGATGACACCCGCTTGCCACCACACCACACAGCACAGATGGACGATGTCATCCAGGGGTCACCAGCTGCGTGGCCAGCCTACAGCGAGAGCCACCACAGTGTGCAAGTATGTTGTGGGCAGATGGGCGGGAAAGAGAAGTGGAACAACTCAAGCATTATGAAGAGAGATAGAATTGGAGAGTCAAGGGCAGAGAGGAGTAGTCAGTCTATTGTGAATGGCTAGCCCTGCCATCTGGGGCCATGGATAGATCCGAGCCCAAGCTGCTGCTGAAGCCCATGTCTGAGTTAATGGCTACACAGAAGCAGGGGTCAGTGGCTCATAGTATCACTAGAGAACATGACGATGTCTTGGTCTGGGCAGCCACCAGGGACCACGTGGATGTCCAGAGCCTATGCAGAACTGGCCCCGCCCCTCACTGGCAGCAGTACTCTGGGGAGCTGGGCCCATCAGCCTCAGGATCATCCAGAGAGCAGGCCCTGTACCTCACTCAGGCAGCACAGTAGAGCTGGCCCTGGTGGTGGGGTGTGGGGATGCCGGCCAGAGAGCGTGAGTGCGAGAGAGCTGTTCCTGCCAATCATCTGCTATGGGGTGGCCTCTCCCCACTTCTTGCCACCTCTGGCAGTCAGCCCATGGATCATGAGTGTATGAGAGCTAATCTTTTCCCTCACCAGCCTTAGCACTCAGTAGGTACCAGACCAGGTACCTTGGGTAGGCAGTGCAGTAGAGCTGACCGTGGTGGAGGGGGCACAGGTGAGCCAGCGCTGAGGGCAAGAGCAAGGGAGAGCTGACCCCGTCACACATCTAGCTGCATAGATGGCCTGGATCTGGGGACGATGTTTTTCCCCCATATTGCCCCTTACCACTGCGACAATTTGGACATCTGTCCCCAGGGTCATTAGCAGGGAAAGCGGTCCCTGTCCCTTATTGACTACAGCACCTGGGAAAGTGGGCCTTGTGCCTTGCCCAGGCGACATCTTGTCGCTGGGGAGCTGGCTCTGAAGGTGTGTGTGATGCAACCAATTTCAGATGAAACGTTTTAAGAGTAGGGATTGGGTTTGCTCTTGAGCATATTCATTTACTGGGGGAAACAATAAACATATTAACCAAGTGACCTATAAAGGTCCCAGTCCACTGGGAACAGGCACTGGCCTCTGACATTTATTCCAGTTCTTGTTCATTTCCTATTTGGAAGTGTTGCCTTTCTTAATAAACAGTCTCTGTTTCTACCGCTTTCCTTGTTCCTTGTTCCAGGTGCTCCTTTTCCTCAGTGTCCACCTGTAACAGCATCAGTATTAGTCAGGGCTGTCTAGGGGGCAGGACCAATGGGATGAATACACATAGGACAATTTAATAAGTCAGCTTTAAAATAGCAATATCAACTAAATCACACCTGAGAAAATAAGAACTTGGGTTGCCAGTGGTTCCTTGGGGCTAGATGCTGAGTAGTTCTAAAATAGCTGTCTCCTCTGAGACTCCTTCCCTACCTCCTTCCTTCCCTCCCTTCCTCTCTCTTCTTCCCCCCCCTTTCGTGTGTGTGTGTGTGTGTGTGTGTGTGTGTGTGTGTGTGTGCTCATCTATGTGCATGTACATGACAACTCAAACTCAGAAGTCCCACTCTGGTACTGGAGAGCATTTCCTGGAGAGCAGCTAGTCCCTAGCATACAATGACAAGTTGGAAACACTCCATGACTTGGAAACACTTGGATAACTGTTATCAGCAAAGGAGTCAGCAGCAGCAACAGGA